TTACTGAGCGAGGAGACAGGAGCAGAAGTCATCAATCGACGTACCAAGGAAGTAGCCACAGAGGGCTCGAAGCGACTGATCGCATGGAATGGCCTGCAGGAGTTCAGAGTTGACGTTCAGTGAAACGCAGAGTGTCGGATTGGTCGTCTGAGACAGGATACTGCGTACAGAGAAATTCAGCAAGGTGGTTGACTCCAAAAAGTCGGGTGCATCAAGCTGAAAGGACAAAAGAAATTATTAAACACCATCTAGTAAAAAAACGAAGGGGCTCTGCACTTTAAAACAAACACAAATACATTAGCTGCCTTCTACTGCTTGAGAACTGATGGTAACCCATACGTGGTCAATGCAGACGAGGTAACCATCTGTGGTCGTAGTAGCTCTTGTGCCAATAAATTACGGCGAGCGTAAAGATGGAGAAAGGTATGGATTCTACATAAGCAAGCCCTGTTATGATCCAACTTAAGCACAGCTCCATCGCCAATGGCTCCCAATCCGCAAAAAGTGCAACGATTTGCCCAATCCATATTCGGTGCTGAGACTCAATTTGGCCACTTGGGGAACGGACAGGCCACCACGTCATCCTACGCCAACACCGGAGGGCCAGATGGCTGAGCAATTATCACACCCGAGTCCACCACGTGTGATGAAATTTCAACAGGTCAGAGTCCGCATGCCGTCCAACAAACAATCCACGCGCAAGAAGACAATTTGCTTTAATTGTCGCTGTATTTTTGCAGTAATGACTGCATCCTATAAATACCACAAACTCCTGTGCATGTTTATTCGTTTCTGCTACCATTTCCTGCTAATGTCTCTGATGATGAATCTGCGCCGGATGTCGAAACGTCAGGCGAATAAAAGTTTTGTCCCAGCGATCCAGTCGTCTTCTCCTTAATTACTTCCTGGGACTCGCATGTTCGAACGTATTGACGATGATCTGTATCTACCATGCAACTGTCCGGCCAGTTCTCCTCTATGGATGTGAATTCTGGGCACTGCGCATGGAAGATGACCGAATGCGGTCGGTTACTGACCACTGCTGCCTGAAGATCATCCTTCAAGTGAAGTATATCGACTTCGTCTCCAAAGCGACAGTCCGCACGCGCTGCGACAGTATCGCGTGGATATCTCAGACTGCCCAAGAAACACGGCTGAGGTGGTTTGGGCACGTACTCTGTCGTCCGCCTAACGAGCTTTGCTACGCTGCCTTTGATCCGGTGCCACGGCCCAAAGGAGGGCAATCGAGGGCTTGGCTCGATACCGTTCAGCAAGATATGGAAGCGGTTCTTGGACCTTCGGTCTCCGTCGCTGGAGAAGAGAATAAGTAGAGCCTTCTAGATCTGCTGAACCCAAATCAACATGCTAGGAGAGGTACTGTCCGTGAGCTTACTGAGGCCGGCTAGATCATGAATGCTCACAGCCGTATCAGGTACAAGTTCTCAAGCACAAGCCGACAATACCCTCGAGAACTGTGGGGACCCTCA